CAGATAAATCGATACATCGCAAAACACACCACGCTACTGATGCAGTTCCTTTCTTGACGTGACACGGCAAATGGACAGGATTTTCATCCGGAAATATCCTCACAAATACTCCAGGATAAAATTTTTCACTTATTTGATAGAATTTTAATCCTCGTCATTAACTGCATCTCATGAAAAATCAACATCGTACCATCTAAGGTTTTTTGTTGTTTTTGACGGAAGAAAAACACCACGACAAAAAAAATTAACCTTTAATGACAGTTCAGTGTGGCATACTTTAAAGCTGTGAGAAGTGGAACATAAGTAGTTTACACCAATTTGATTTAACTCAAGGGAAAAAGTTGGAATTTTACGGCTCTAGAAATATAGTAAATTTCAAAGATCGTGTCTAAAATGTTACGTTTAAACTTCGCTCTTTTAGTTGGGTCCATAGTTGTGATCAAAGGATTCTTAAATGCAGAGTCGGACTGGCGTAAAAAAAGTTAGGCAGCTACTAGGATTTTGGGGCCCCTGACGTAAAAACTGGGCCCCTATGGGGGGTCTGGGAGGTCGCCCCCCAGGAATGGGGGGGGGTCGGGGGGTCCTCCCCCGGAAAATTTTGAAAATTTAACCCCTGAAAATAGAAGTTTTAGGCTCTTTTCGCATTGAAATTTGATAAATAGCGCCTCCGAAAATGTCACCAATTTTTTTAGATATTTTTTGAAAAATTCGGCGATTCCTCTTGTTGATAAAGAAGCACATAACCTCCTCAAACTTTACGCATGGGCCTCTCCCTGAAGTTACCTTCTCCCGGCTGCAGGGCCAGTAGGGGCGCCTCCAAAAAGAAGTCATCTTAAAGTGAGTAACCTTCAAAGACCGGAAAAAAGAGCTTTCGAGACCCGGAAGGGCCCCTGAAAGTGAAACTCTTTTTTTCGAGCCCAGGGTTAGGGGCCCCTGCTGACATATATTCAAGGGCCCCAGAAGTGACCCTCTTCGGGCTATAGGGGTCTCAGAGAAAGAGTCATGCTGTTTAAAGTAAAACACCGTTAGAGGCCGGGAAAATATAGCTTCGAGGGCCGCTCCAGGGCCCTTGAAGCTCATATTTTCCGATCGCTGAGGGGCCCTTTCAGGGGCCCCTGAGGTTACCTTTTTCGGGCCGTAGTGGCCTCAGAGAAGGTGTTATGAGTTAAACCCTCGAGGACTGAAAAAAACGAGGGGTTTTCAAGGATTCATTTCATTTATTGAAGAATAAATTCAAGGATTTTTTTCAAGGATTTTTCACTTTTTCATGGATTCATTTCTTTCATTGAAGAATAAATTCAGGAATTGTCGGCTCAGGGGCCCCGTCGGGGCCCCTGAGCCGACAATTCTTAGGCAGCGATCGCTGCCTAGCTGCCTTAGCCAGTCCGGCCCTGCTTAAATGTGCTTTCAAGATATTTTCTTAGAGGGTATAACTTTCATGGACCGGAAGTAAGATTTACTATATTAACCTCGAAAATTGAGTGTTTTAAGGGACTTGAATGATTTATCACAAAAAGATTCGGAATGTAACAAACCGGGGCCAAACGTAATGGGCCTTTAGGTATAAATTTGACGTATTTATGCTAAAAGGAACTATGTTGCAAACAAACTCTATGCACATAGTTCCTTTTAGCATAAATACGTCCGATTAAAGCATTCCGTAACATGAGCCCTGAGCCCTCTTCAAAATTTCACGAAGAAAACGAATCTCACGACGGAAATTCTGGAAATCAATAAAATAAGATATGAGTGTTAATAGTGAACATTAGTTAAATGACAAAAAAACAAATGACGCCATTTGTATGATCCAACCTCCATTTGATGTGTGTAAAAAATGTTTGATAATAACCTCGTTCGGAAGTTGATTTTGGAACTTCCCGTTGTGTGAATAGTTTTCCGCGTAAGATCTTGAAGAGAAAACTTGTGACGCTTTCCTCTGGATCTGACCTCGTCTCGTCGACCATTTCTTCGACAAATTTTAAGGTAGGTTCGTTACCTATAAATAATTTCAAAATCGTAAAATTTTCTCTTCCGTATAGTTCAATTGTTCTTGGAAAGACCATTCCGAAGAATTGGTTGAGAGGTCACTGTATTAATTTAACCCGAAGTTCGTTGAATTCGTCCTATTTTTGATGCTGTGTATAATAAAGGCCTCTTTGAATTTTCCTTCATTTTTGGATAAGTCGAAGGCAAATAGTAAAATCAGGCATTTTGTCAAATGCCTGGGCTAATAGTCAAATATACCGGCTTAGATTATAAATTTTCAGATTTTTCTCCTAATTACAGATAAAAAATTCATCGCTCCTGAAAGAAATGATTCTTCGTAAAAATGTGCATAATACAATAGTATTTTGAACGATGTTTAGCGCCTGAACGAAATTGTATCTTGAAATTTTCAGCATGTCGTAAAATACAGAATTTTTAAAATTTTAACATTAAAATACATAAAAAGCATTCATGGAGGGGAAAAAGAAGAAGAGTTCATAGATTTGATGAGTTACGTTTCCAAAAATATTGAAAATTCGTGAGTTCTTCGCCATAAATTTACAAAATTTGTGATTCGTCAAAATTTGACTATGCATTTGATGAAATACCTGATTTGACTAATTGCCTGCGACAGAATACACCATACAGATTTCTCTATTGAAGACAGAGCCGCTTGGGGAAAGACTACGGTAACGGTATTTAATCTCTCATTACGGACATTGTTGGTGCACAATCTGACAACATTGTTGCGTAAATGAAGAAACACCGTCACCGTCACGCTACTAGCTGATGTGATGATGTGAACGATGCCATTGATTAACCCGAATCAGATCGATGCTGCCCAACTCGAAGGAATCTCTTTAGTCGCTTAATGTGTCTCCGTGGAATTCACGAAAATATGAACACAAAACTCATAACGTTGACTTTACGTTGAGTGTAACGTCGCGTCGCAATCGGCGTATACCTCCACCTTGCAACGCACATACTTGACGTAGGCGCCACTACATATCGTCACTTTCCGGCCATAGTATCACAAGCGCCATGCTACATTTCAAAATTTCCGCCGCCATCTTATTTTTTTTAACAGAGAAATTGTTGGTTGAATCTGTTTGAAAATTTCACTGAATTTTATCGGCAGCACAAAGAAAATTTAGTAAATTTTTTGAACAGTTTCATTTAATAATTTCTCTGTAAAAAAATAAAATGGCGGCGGAAATTAAGCACCGCATGGCGCTTGTGATACTTTGGCCGTAAGGTGTCGATATGCGTAATTGTTTCTTCCCCGTGTCCTCAAGTTCCGTTTGCGTCCATATTTAACATAAGTTAGCAGTCTTAAAGAACCAATTCTACGTCAGTCTTTTCTAAGCCCTCATTAAATGTGGACATCTTTTTCAGCCCTGGAAAAAAAGTCACTTGGATCTAAGGTCCAGACTACTGATAAAATTGACAAAAAGCATACTTGATTCAGTTGGGTTGTTGCTTGAATCGAGAGCCAATAAGCCTTTTGATGCAAGCGGATTTACTTTTGATTCAAGCAAAAATCCGATTGAATCAAGAGTAGTTTTCTTATCAATATTTTTTTAGGGTTGGACCCTAGATCCAAGCAACGTTTTTTCCAGCGAGGTAGATCTTCAGCAATTGCGAACACTATTCGACAGTCGATCGATCAATTGGACGTATTTTTGTCAAACGGAACTATGTGCATTATGACATGAGCCCTATTATGCATACATTCTTATGAGTCTCAGGGCTCATGCCATAATGCATTTAGTTCCGATTGACAGGAATACGTCCAATTCGTAATCTCTAAATCATTGGATTTGTTTTAAAGAGTCTCGTAAAAGCTCATCATGTTCTAGTTCTTTGAGTGTACATAAAATACACTTTGAAATAATAACCTCATGCGTATGTCCCAAGTAAGTATCAAAAATCTAAAAACGAAATACTTGTAAGGTGTTAACTTGATACGCGCCGAAGAAATGTATGTCCGAAATGAATATCGCAAATTTGAATTCAATTTTTTTTTACCATATTCACCTGTTGCTTATTTTGAAAAACAAAAAAACAATTCCGGCCGTGGAAGCCGAACTCACGAGCTACATAGACGTACCGTCCTCGTTCCGGGCTCGGACACCGAGAGTTCCGGGCGTAGCACCCAGAACAACTGAAGCTACAGCTCTTGCACCCGGTAGTTTCGGCCTCTGAGCCCGGAACGGACTGTATGTCTACACAGCCTGTAACTTTTTTTCAGTGTATGATACTTTTCGAGTTATCATAAGGCGTTTCTCAGTCAAATTTGTGCAGGTATATCTGATGGACTGCAACGAGAGACGTGACCGTGACAGTCCAAGATTTTTGAAAAATGTCATTAAAATCTAGTAATGATAAATTTCGATCAAATCGATCCATTATCGAATTGTTCCTCAAAATACCATAGAACTTCCTTGAATGCGTCCATTTCAGGATCGATCCCGAGTGCGCGCCAAATTCATTCTCCCGTGCTAAGTAAAAAACCGTATAAGCATTCAAATGTTGCCAATTTTCTTCTTTAAAAATATGTATTTTTGATGAAAGCCATGAAAATTTTTCCTTGGAATTTACAAACTTTCTGAATCAAATTACGAATGAGATCCTCTGAAAATTCAGGGAGGAAACATTTACAAATCCTAAAAATGCGTGATTTGTAGATGAAAATTTGGCTACGCCTGATGGCTCATACGGCGTTTTACTCAGGACGGCACTGCCGAGGTAAGGAAAAACGCCGTATGAACCTTCAGGCGTTGCCAAATTTCCTTTTATAAAATACGAATTTCTTGCTAAACTTCTGAATATTTTCCTTCCAGTTTTTCAGATAATTTTGTTCGCAACTGAAAATTTCAGGGAAAATATACATATCTTCACTAAAAAATTAATATTTTATCGGAGGAAATTTGAAAACTCTCGAAGTTCATGCGGCGTTCTTCCTTAGCACGGCAGAGCACGTGGCGAAAGAGAAGGAGATTGAGATGCCTTACCTTGCGGCCTTGATTAGGACGGATTCCTGGGATGTGAGATCGACTGGAAGGCACCCGCGGAATCACTCTCGACCGAACTGGGTCAGTAAGATCCGAAATGGAAATCGCGTGCGGGGGAGGAGGAATTTTCGGGAGTTGGTTACCCGCGCAACATTGGGACCCGCGGAAGCACACTCCGAAACTCCCGGAAACGGAAGACGCGGATGATTTCGGAGACCGCGCAGTCCTCCTCGTCGGCCCGAACAACACTTCTCCCGGTCGGACGAACCTTGCTGCCAAGGGTCTCTGTCGATGCGGGTTGACGTCCTTTAAGTCGTTAACGTCACTCCTGAAAAAAGGGGCAAAGAATATGTAAGAATTAAATGCACTTGAATACATAAGGACGAATTTTTGGGAGGGTATGGATTCGATCGACATGAATCGATTGAAGAATGAAAACGTGAATCGATCGAAGCATGAAAACGTGAATCGATCGATCGACAAATTATTAAGAAACCGGTGTCAATTTGATCGACATGAATCGATCGAAAAATGAAAACATGAATGGATCGACAAATCCGTGAGTCGATCGACAAGCCGAATGGTCGAATGGCCAATTGGTCGAATTTTGTCGACGAAATCGGTGTCGATTGATTCACGTCGATTGACTCACGTTCTCACTTTTCGATCTATTCATGTCGATCGAATCGACACGGGTGTTTTTAAACTAACTGTCGATCGAATCGGTGTCGATTGATTCATGTCGATCGATTCACGTTTTCATTTTTTGATCGACTCATGTCGATCGAATCGACACAGGTTTTTTAATCATTTGTCGACCGAATTGGTGTCAATCGGTTCATGTCGATCGATCCATGTTGATCGAATCGACACAGGTTTTTTAATAATTTGTCGATCGAATTGGTGTCGATCGATTCCTGTCGATGGATTCACGTTTTCATTTTTCGATTGATTCATGTCGATCGAATCCATACCCTCCGAATCTTTGTGAAAAAGACTAACATCGATACCCTTATTGTCGTGCTATTAGCAGTGGCAAGGCGTGAATGATCGATTGATTATCGATTCCTCATTTGAAGCAACGGTAAATAATCGCTCATTAAGGTGTTCGTTGTGAACACCCTGTTATTCGATCCTTTTTCATAGGTTTAAATGGCAGATCAATCGATACATTGCAAAGTACGCCACGCTACTGCCTATTAAGAAGAACGCCGCACGATGGAACGAGTCGATGGGAAAAGTCGGAGGTGGAACTTTTAAAAGGTTATAACTCCTAGTAGTTCCATTGGTTTCCTCGTGGAATCTTTTGATGGCACCCGTTTAAATTTATAATGCGACAAATTAAACTTCAAAATTTTCAGTTTTAGTTAAAAATTTCATGTTCGACCCTCTTGAGTAACTCGATCCACCGTGCGCCGTAAGTATATTTGAGAGTTGCCAAAGTTTCCCGAATTATAAATGTATTTTCGGGGGAAATTTTTGCATATTTCTCCTTATAATCTTCAAATATTCTGGATTAAATTGCGAATTGTCTTAAAAATCAGAGAAAAAATATTCAGAATTTTCCCAGTAAATCCGATTTTATTGAAGGGAATATGGCAACGCCTGAATGCTCATACGTCGTTCTTCCTTAGCACGGTAGCATAGGACATCGATGATTGGATTACATTTTGCAATAAGGGACCACTATTTCTGGCCCATTTTAGAAACAACATACATGCCATTGGTTTCCCCATGCAAATAATTGTTTTTATGAGAGAGCCAGAGATAGTGGTTCCTTACTGCAAAATGTAATCCAATTGACATCCATCTTCCATTATACTTATTTTTGCCTCCCTTTCTTGCGGTTTCACATACGAGTATTCACATGAAACCCTTTTCAAATACTTTCGTTTCGTGACACAAGAGATATTAGCAATCGTCTTGCTGCAGTCAGGAATGCCTGTAGAAACAGTCCTGAGGTTTGGTCAAATGCAATTTAGCTTACGAGTGTTTGCGGTTTGAAAGTTAAATCACCGCACATAATCTTATGAAAACCAAAGTGTAGTTAAAATCATGATTGTAGAAGAATTTATTCAGTACGCTAAACTACGACACCACAGTTGTTTTAAATTGTCTGTGCATACAAAAAGCGTACTTATTTAAATGGGTTTGTTTTGAAAACCCTTTCCAGAGAGCTAAAATTGAGTTCAAGAATGGACCACTAGACAAGGCACGAATTCAAGCATTCTGATACATGTTTCTTAATCAGAATTTCACGTAGAACACAATGCGCGCAACGAAAATTACTGAAACTAACTCCTGACGAAGATATTAACCTTTTTATTTCACATTGGTTACGCGGATTTTGAACTGCCCGCTCACAAGAAACTCAAAGCTCTACGTGAGTCAAAGCGCGCACTACAACAGTTTCAGCAAGCCTTTCAATCGAGCACTGTTCATTTCCCACCATGTGTTGTTCAAATGATAAGCAATTTGCTATAGCTGAGCCAAAGCGTCAAAATTGTGGTTGCCAGATTTTCACATCGCAGAGACTGTCACGATAATATTCAACGCGCGATGTGAATCACGTAGAGCATTGAGTTTTATTGAGCGGGTGGTTTGAATTCACGCATCAGGAATCATTAAATATCTTCGTAAGGAGTTGATTTCGGTAATTTTTGTTGTGCGCATCGTGTTCTACGTGAAATTTTGGTTAAAAAACATGTATCAGAATGCTTAAATTCGTACCTTGTCTAGTGGTCCATTGTAGAATAGAACAGTTACATGTATTAGTCATCATGGGGTTGAATTTATCTCATGTAATTTTGATCAAAATCAAAAGAAGCCAATTCCTTAAAATATGAACTTCTTACTCTTTAAACCAAAATAAGCGTCACACAATTCCGTCAAACGAAAATTTGAAGAACTCTTGAATTTTCGTTAGAAATTGCGTGCTTAGGAATGAAATTTTGCAAATCAGTGAATAAGGCTTAAATTTCTGTGAACATGTAAGTATAGATATTTGAGAACATCGACTCCTATGACATTGCTTGACGCAAAAGGAAAACATCATGCGAGGAATTTCACTGAAACACTTTCAGTGCTCGGTGAAACAGCTTCTAGATTAGTCACTTTGACATTCCGCCTGAAACTTTAATTTTCCTCGTACTGTAGATTATCAAGCTCAAAAAAGATATTCTCCAAAAATCTGACAGATGCTGTCTAAAAAAGACCCGATTTTTAAGCTCAGTAGAATAGATGGATTTCAGTTCAGTCGATACCATAATCCTTAAATAATTCAGCACCCGCGAAAAATCGCGGGGAGTGATATATTAATTCAACATTCTCTTCATAGATTAGGTTAATGCAAAATCAAAAATCTCTCCTCTTGTCCCAAGATGGTCTGCATAAGGAATATTTTCTGCTCTTTCGGTACTCTTTCCATTGCGAATTAAAGATGACTCGTGAGTAATTCTTTGAAATATTTAAGTGAGCCATATGAAAAATATCTTATTCTTTTAGACAAATTTGTTGATGTCATGTCGAGAATTCAATAATTGAGGAGCTCTTTGGAACAAGGACGTACGATGTATATCCAAAAAAGTAACGCTGAGAAAATTGCTTACTACAGTTCAGAAGTGAGTGGCTCTGGTTCTAATTGAATTTTTTTAGTAGACTTGGTTAAAAGAACAACTATTTGTAACTTCGTTCCCTCAGAGTGAACTATTATGTCTTGTTTTTCGGTAACTCCGTTGGGAAAAACAGGAAAAAATCACACGATTGTGTTCAAAAGAGGAACTACACTGGAAAAAGAAACACATTGGATCCAGAATCCAGACTCTTAAAAATATCGACAAGGAAAATGCGTTGGCATCATGGGTTCCGGAAAACAAATGGTCCAGTGGCAGTGTTTTTCACATGTTCATAGTAGAGTTACCGCTTCAAATTGCAGTTCAAAAACGATAGGCATCTTTCAAACGGGAAGTATTCCCAAACTTTCCTTACTCTCCTGATTTGGCACAGTCAGACTACTAATTAGTCCCGTATCTGAAAGCTGAACTCGGGGGAGTTCATTTTGAATCAGTGGAAAACGTCAAACAAGCTGTCCACACTATCTGCACTAGTCAGCCGCAGGACTTCTACGCGCGTGGCATCCATAAGCTTTCCTCTCAGCATCAAACCTGCTTGGATCGAGCTGGTGACTATTTGGAAAATTGAGGAGAGCCCCTTATTGCACATATAACTTCTTTGATTTTTCGTTAGTGATGAATGGCTGAAGCTTTGGCAAAGAAGCACCTCTTTTGTGCCCTCTCTTGGACTTAAAATCCCCGCGGATCCGGCGGGAGCGGCGCGTTTAAACGGCTCCCGTTCGGCCGCACATGGTTCGGTTTTGGTGCAGTTTCTTTTGTTGAACTTACTGTATCCTAAGAGAGACTTTCAGCCAAAGTTTTTGAAAATTAGTCCATTTTTTGAGATTTTACAAGGGGCGATACTTACGTATTGAACGCCTCTCGTAAGATTTGAGCTGTCAGAGTTTGCAGTAGCCGATTCCCAAAATTTCAAAGTTTGGCATGCCATCATGATTGGAAACGAATAAGTATTCGGCATTTTTGAGGCTTTAATATCTTCTTTCTCAGTGATTTTTTAGAGGAGAAACTGAGTCACAAGGGCTCAATTACTTTCTAAAGCTTGGTCCCAAAGTATCCAGAGGGAGGATTACATTGGACTTTGATTGCACTATCACTTGGAGATATTCGGCAGCAGTTTTAAGAATTGGCAAATGCAGCTGCATCAAAAGTATGAAACTACTTCATCAAACCACCCTAATAGATAGGTTTTTCGTTTCCTAAGCACCATTCTGTTCCGCCAAGATTTATTGATTTTATTGAAAAAGCCGCTCATTACGCTTCGTAAAATTTCACTTTTGGTATAGAAAAATTACACGTTGCGTTTTCATTTCGCCGGTTACGATGAAATAATTCAATTCTTTCATAAATTCTTTTCTCGAGACATAGCACAATTTCCTTGTGAACAGCAATTCATCCTTCTTAAAAGAATCTATGGAGAGTCTTTCTGCAGAGAAGTAAATTTCAAAAATAATTTGTATGTTATTCGGCATTAGAATTGCTTTCAAGTAACAAAACGACAGCGTATTTTCATTGGACTATATTTTTCAATACAGGAAAGCTGATCACACCCTGAGAAGAAACCAAATTACTGGTGTTTCAGCGTTCTGCATAAACTCTTGTTTAATAGTAGTCATATTTAGCATCAGTCGTATTTTCACCATTAAGTGATGATTCTACGCAGCGATGGTAATTTTACCACCACGCCAGTAAAAGTACAACTTAATGACAAAAATGCCACCACGACTATTATTCTTTCTGAAGGATGCATGAAAAACTCCATTAATTTAATGATTTTCGCCATAATTTCCCTCGGGGCAGGAAAAAAGGAGCAATTTACCTTTAGAACCAAATAATTCGGGTGAAAAACATAAAATCATCATAAAAGAACAGGTCTAAGTTTGTCACGCACTCCTTTCCAAATATAGAGATATTCAACTCAAAGATGGAGCCAAAAATTTCTATCACTGAAAGCAAACTTCTGAATAAATTATTGTGATATTTTCCCATTAATCGGATGATTTTTATTATAGTTTTTTCCCCCAGTGCAAAAAAAGCGGAGTTACTCGCTTTTGGAAGGAAACATTCAGGGAAAAAACGAAAAATCCTGGAAAATAATTAAACAAGTCTAATATGAAATACACACCTTTTCAAAGAACGCAATGAATAATCCAAGAGAGAAGCCGGAATTTTAGCGAATTAATTTACACAAAGTGAGGAAGCAAAGGAATTTACGCGTGACACGTGAGGAACTAGAGCTTCCGAAGAATGGCACTGAATAAAACTGTACACGCGCGCAAATTCAGCGGCAGTAACGGCACTTGTTCCAACCAACTCGTTTTCTTCTCGTGGCGGCAGTCGCGAACGACATCAGTGACTTGAACGCCGGGTGAGCAAAGTGGCGATCGCTCCGCGTTCGGATTGCAGACTGACTCCAACGCTTGTTGCGGCTCCAGCAGAGGGCCGCGAAACTGGCAAAAACCACCACAGCGTGGCCGCTACGCAGAGAGGTAAAGGGTGTCCGCACTGACGTCCCAGAGAAAAACGCCGTATATATATGAGCCTTCAGTCGTTGCCAAATTCCCTTTGATAAAATATGAATTTTCAGGGAAATCTGTAAATGTTTTTCTTCGCATTTTATGGAAAATTTTCACTGGAAAAAAAGTTGTTTGGATCTCTCTGTTTTAAGAGTCCAGACTCTTAAAAACATTGACAAGATAAAATACGAAAAATTAGAAAAATATAAATGAAAAAATAAAAAAAAATTGAGAATTGCTAAATTGCCTCCGTTAAAATGTTTATTTGGAGAGAGATGAATATTTCCTCTTGAAATTTTCAAGCAATTTAGATTCAATCGCGAATAATACCGGGAAAAAAAGTCGCTTGGATCTAGAATCCAGACTCTTAAAAATATTGACAAGGAAAAATATTCTTGATTCAATCCGATTTGGTCTTGAGCCGAGCCTCTTGATTTAGGTGGATTTCCTTTAGATTCAAACAAAAATTCCGATTGAATCAAGAGTAAACTTCTTGTCAATGTTTTTAAGAGTCTGAAATCTAGATCCAGGCGACTTTTTTTCCAGTGTCGCGATTGGATCTAAATTATTTGAAAATTTCAAGAGGAAATATTCATCACTCTCCAAATAAACATTTTAACGGAGGAAATTTGGCAATTCTCAAGTATGGTATTTTCCTTCGCACGGAAGTGTCACTAAGAGCAGTTGCGACCGGATTTTCAAAATCGAGTTTTCTTCAAAATTCAGATGATTTCAATGGACCGCAAAACAGGAGAAAATTAGAGAAGTTATTAACATGCTCCACATCAAACTTTAATGCTGGGTAGGTTGAACACATTTTAAACTTCCAACATTCACTTATGAGTGAGCAATTAATATTGCAGTTAACATTATAAATTGTAATTTCAAGCCTTGTTTAAAATCAATCGGGTTTTTTGAAAACACTGCACTGTAGACTTCAGAGTGAAAATCACTCTCAATTTTTTTTTGAGATTTCTAACAGTGCATGCAGTTAATTTGAAATGACGTATTCCTACTTGAGCGCCATCAAGCAAAACAGATGTATCTAAAACGGAAGTTTGAAAAAATACAAATTCAATAGTGTATTTCCTCCGAAAAATACAGAAAAAAAGATACCCGCAGGATAACAGAAAGCAGGCCCCCTGGCTTTCTCCAGTTCTGTTCACGTCTTTTTCAAAATGAATTGGGTTTCCTTTATGAATGGATTCAAAACGAGATCCCTTTAAAAAAGTTAAAACAGGGCCCAATCGAGGTCCAGTCTAGAACGGACTACGACTCATTTTATCGGGGTAAATACAATTATTTTGGTTTACACATGACTTTGCCTTTCCCCTGAGTATAGCTTGTTAGAGACTTTTGCCATTTTTGAGGACAGAAGACATAAGATAATCGCTGAGTACTTTTTCATAGAGGAGTCCCGTATGATTGGGGCCGTCAAAACTTTTGACCGTGGCATTTTTGAACCTCTCGCAATAGCGCAAGCTCTTTATATTTACCGTCCCGTCGCCTTCTACCATTTGCTCACCGGAAATTTCTGTAGCCTCCGGCAAATTCGGGTCAGTCACCCAGAACCTGGAAAAGCAAATTCATTTAGACTGAAATATGCAAAAGGATGTGTCTCATTGAGGGGAGAGAGGTTTGGCCAAAAACATTTAAGGGTTCTAACCCAATGATCTTTTAGTTCAAACCCTCATCATCAAGGAATGCCCATATCAGCTGTGTTGGTTGTGTATTACACTCAATATTACTCACTGATTTGTATTTTGCTTGTATGGCTATGGATAGTGAGTGGGACTTTCAAAGAGCCTTTAACTTGAGCTAGAAAGATAGAGGTTACTTTCATAGTTTAATTCCCTTAGTCTGATTCTGGTTCATATGATTCATTGATGTGTGTATAGCTTGTATGGGCATTGTAGGCAGTGAAGATATTTTACTTACATTTGAAGAATCATCAATTAATTGACAGAACATGCCTGCCGTGCTATGTGAAAACACTGTGTGAACATTTGGAAGTTGCAAAATGTCTCTCGATAAAGAACTAATTAAACCTAAGGAAACTTGAAAATATTTTCCTTTGAAATTTTAGATAATTTAGATCAAATTTTGAAACAACTTCTCTGAACAATTGGAAGAAAATATTTCGAAATTTCTCAGAAAATCCGTGTTTCATCTATTTGGCAACAGCCGAAAGTTTAAACGGTATGTTTCCTCAGCAGCGGCCCGGTTATTGAAACTATATGTCAGCCCGATACGACAAGACATATAGCCCCATCTTAACCATGCAATATATCGCAATTCGATGTCTTGTCGGGCTACTTTAAACTTTCAATAATCGGCCCGCGGGGCATGCTTAGTTTTCATCCCTACACTACAAAGCATCCTTCATCGCGAAATTAGGATTATGCTGCTACATACATATAGCTTAACGGTTGGAGCGCCGCATCCTTTGAAAACGAAATCACTACTAATTTGCCTTCAAGTTTGACGATGCAACCCACCACCACACCGAAGTTAATTAAGTTGTATCAGTTCATTGGCTTCATTCTGATCTGAGTGTTCCTGTGCATTCTAGGGACCTTAACTTACATTTAGGAATTGATAACAAATTGACGTGCACGCACAGTCGTGCTAAAGAAAAATACCGTTTGAAAAATCATGCCAATGTTACCAATTGCCTCCGTTACTTTTAAGGAAACTTATATGAATATTTTCCTTTAACAGTCTCAAATGATTTAGATAAAACTTCGAATAAAGCTTTTTGAATAAATGAAAGTTAAAAATTTAAAATTTCCTCAGAAAATCCGTACAATCACGTATTTCTCGAAACAAACCAAACAAGAAACAAAAAAAAAAAAAAAAAAAAAAAAAAAAAAAAACCTGCACAACTATAATGCGCATTGTCCTCTGAATCCCTTTAATGCTCTCTCTCGGTGATCATGCTCCTGATGAAACTCTAATTCATAGGACTCATGTATGTAAATTACAGTAATTACATATGTATGTAGATAACAACGTTTGGGAGCCAAACTTCCAAATTCTTTGTATAGACGTTAATAGCCTAGGATGCTGAATGTCTATACATGAAATAACTCATCGCTTGACCGGCATAAGGGTGTAACTACACATTGAGATGAGCCCAGAAAAGCATTGAATTGTATGGACGACATGGTTCATTGCAGAGTGTAGTTACGCCTTTATGTCAGGTAGGCGACGAACGATAACTAACTAACTATTTTCGTGGTAACTGACATTTTGTTAATGTATGAAACAAGATAATTGATCGAAAGGCTGCTCCTAAGAGGCATGTTCCGGTTGATTTGTGCAATTAAATCAAAGCAAACTTCCGGTCAATGTAACCGAAGTCTTTCTTCGGTTCAATTCAGAGCTGAGGTTTGGTTGGATATAAGGCAAATCTTGCATAAACACGTATGTCCTGAATGGTGAAAAAATAGCAGACTAAAATAGGAAAACGTACTGACGGACGGACTTTTACCCGCGACTTTTCTGTTTTCAAGGACACACTGCGAAATTTTCGTCAAACGTGAGTAATATGTATAACCTATTGCATAACACTTTCGTGGGAGGAAACTTCAGAATGCAACAGTACTTAAAACACTTCTTGCCTCGCGTCGTTGATAAATCGTGTCGTGAGGAAGGACATTATTGATTTATAAGACCGTTAATATTGATGCAATTTCTCTTGCGATTTTTTTCTAGCTGCGTAAAATGATTTCAATACGAAAAGGAGCCTTGAAAACTTTTTCTAGTTGTTAATGTGCACTAAAAGGTTATCCTTAATTTGTTAAGGACCACACCCAAAACAAACAAGGCTCGAGACAAGTTCCTAACAGTGGCGTGGCGTGAATAATCGATTATCGATATCTCACCATTTGAAGCCATGGTAAAGAATCGATTACTAAGGTGTTCGCTGCGAACACTCTGATAATCGATCTTTTTTCATAGGTTTAAATGGCACAACAATCGATGTATCGCCATGTAACGCCACGCCACTGGTTCCTAATAGTTCGTGATGAACAAATGAGTCTCAGGAATATGTTTCCATTAGTTCTTTTCGGCATGAAAGTGCATCAGCTTTCGTTCTGGTCACGAGTTGGGAGACCAAGCAATTAGATTATGTATTTGTAATTCTCTGCACGCATTGACGTTGGAGTTTGAGTGATTTTAAATTAAACATTTTCAACAAAGATGGAAAACGATAAAAAAAGAAAGAAGAAAGGAACAGCCTATTCGTCGATATTTTTCTCAAAATGTTCCATACATGTAACAAAAAATATCAGTTTTACCCTTTATTGCAAAAAAAAAAGAAAAAAAGAAAATAAATCGATGTTTATCAATATTTCTTTTATTTTACGCTTCGCGGCCTAGCTTTCCAAAAAGCTTTGCGCCTTTTATGATTCTATTATTTAAAGCACATTTGGTTTTTTTTAAAACGTGAAAAATAGAAACTTCTCTTTTGGTTCTACAGTCCAAGATAAAGGTATGTGTTGACTATGATCAAATTAGAATCACGTTCACATGACATTAAATGGACGGAGTTAAACAGAAAGGATCCAAGCCACATCGGGATCGATTCGAGAAAAAGAGGTTTAAACTTTGGCTCCTGCATAAGACCCAATGCAAACGATAAACCTCAAGTTCAATTTCTGCAAAATTTGCTCCAACAAAAACTTTGAATTTTTGGCGATAGATAGTAGAGCAGTGGTTGAGTTCAAAACCACTCATAATTCTATTTTTTTTTTCAAAATATGGGTTGGTTCCTTTCTGCTTAATTCAGTCCAAATAACCAATGCGAGTAATTTTTCTCATTAAAAAAAAAAAAAAAAAAAAAAAAAAAAAAAAAAAAAACTGCAGGAAGTAAAATTTTCAATTTCAGAATTTGGGAAGCAGAAATATTGAAAAAGCGCAATGGAGCCAAGAATCTAACAGTTTAGCCCAACAGTAACATGTTAGTAATAGAAAAATTTAACCCATGAAGCGCTTATCTTCCTAGATTTCTCAAAAAAAGTCCGATCATCATGATCACATTTTTGCAAATTTGGGCTCACCTGCCAGGAGTTTCCGGTTTTGTCGTTCTGCTCCATATGCAATGGTACTGCACTCCCAGTTTGTCCAAAGGAACCGGAAATATACCACGAACCCGTTGTCTGATTTCAAATCCTTCCGGAAAACCAATATCCCTAAAAGAGCAGTTGCAGAGATTTAAAGGTACGCAACATTGAGGATATAATTTGGAATGCATGTAGAACATGTGCTTCCCCCTCTATTCTTCGGTTAATCTTCAAGACGTAAACATCAAAATGATTTTTTACGAAGGTATGAAGTCACGTTTATATAATTTTGATTACAATGTGTTTGAAGTTGAAAAGACAAACGGAAGCTTGTAAGCACAATAGACCTACACTCAAATGAATAGCTTTACCTAATTGAATATTGACCTAATGAATTCAGAGGATGCTCAATTTTCTAATTTGAATCTATGACACATGCAGGGTTCGGGAGCAGTTCATTGCTCGACGAAAAAATCTATAGAAATTTCTTACGTATAAAACTGTCTGTAATCCTTCGACGTATATGTTTTGTTTTTGGCAGTCCATTCCATCAACACTTCGTCTTTGAATTCTTCCTCGTTGGGCATCAGGAGTGCTACGGACGGAAGACTTCTTAGCAGGACTTTCATTATTACGACATTGAGCCACGAAATACCCCAATTGTTGCCTGGTACATACATTTTGGAGAAAGAAAAAAGAGTGATATTAAAAAACCACGGTTCATTTGAAATCATGATTATAATATTTAAGACAATATTACTCTGTTCTGAGACCATGAGATAGTGCCACGGAACTTTCCTAACTTTAGACTTTCAGCCCGAAATTTTAAAAAGTTCCTCATACGGTAAAAAGTATACGATGCAAAGCTACAGCATGGTATGTATGACTACATTTCTACGTGGGCCCATTTGGATACTAGGATAGAGATTATCAAAGCCATGGTAACACATACCATACTGTGACATACATTATGCAATATTCACTAGGGCTTAGATTAGGTATTCTCAAGTCTAACTAGGTCTGTTCACCGCGCTATATTTTCCGTGTTCTCAAAAATTCCTGGGATATAGCTTGAGCATCCTACGTTTATTTTCAGAGTCGTATAATAACTAAAATATTTTACATAAAATTGAAGTTGGCGAATGTTTACGGAGCGTTTTAAAATGTTGGTCTACGAAGATAAGTCACAATTTCTCATTAAGTAAGGGGTAGCAAAATTGTAAAAAAATATATTTTTATATACATATATTGATCAGAGATAGGTTTATTATTAATTTTTAAAGTTGTCCTTTCGTTGTTAATATTTATTTTGTTTAACGTGTGTAATAGTAGAATCAATTGAAGCTTGAATGGAATATCCATATCCAACTTTTGATTGTAATAACAGCCGTTTCAAGCGAGCATTGAAGTATATTTCTGTATCGATTTGTCAGTTTTTAAAAACAGAAACAACCTTAGCATACATGGTTTATTAAAATGCGATGGTCCGTGGTACTGGTTTTATTAACACGACTTCAATTTATTGGCGACTCATTTGCAACTTACAAAACTTCTATAAATTTGGTGATTTATTGAAATAAAAGGCTTGTATATGCATGAATGTTGCTTTTATAGCTGAATCTTTGAATCACTCTGACATTCATGTTTGAAAAGTAAGGCCTAACTTTAATCAGATTTCATGTTAACAATTGCTCAAACCTACATTCTTCAGAGTTAAATCTATTTCATTTTTATCATAAATATCATACATTACAGCATCAATACTGAACAATGGAATAATATTCCAAGATCAACGTCACGGATGGCAAAACGCCTTCGAACAAGCAAATAGACAAAATAACATGACTTTATGTCATGCAAATTGCTTGATCTCAACCAGTGAAGGGGCTTAGAAGTTGCTTATTTGGAGGTTTACACGAGAAATGGTGATGCATCGGTATTTATGTTTATTTCTCCATTTCTTTTACGCACCAACTTATCGAGTAGAGAAACGCTATTATTTTTATTACTATATCGTCCCTACCTGAGCTTCACAAGGATAGATTTATGGAGAGATATAACCGTGGGCTAAAAGGTAGCAGTAGAAACAGTCACAAGCAATAAACATGCATAAATTCACATCATTAAATACAATGTTGTAAAGGAGATTTCCATGTATTACTCATGGCTCTAGACATAGTTTTAGACATAGCGGGTGTCGTGGCATCAGAATAATGTCCTAAATTATTTTATCAATATTGCACATCTTTGATCAGAGAAATTGATTAAGACCAAAACTTTATCATTAGGCCCTGATTGAATGGTTTTGCCGTGCTAAAATTACTGTAATCCATTTTTGACGATTTTCGAATTTCATGGAAAGCTGCTCGGCGCTCTATACAAAGACCGCGTGCGCCTAGTGTAAAATTTGAGTACCTAAAGGAATGATATGTTTAAACTTACAATAATTAGTACATTTCATAGTTCCCACACTTCCACGCTAAACAATTTAATCGAGTGAGGCAAAAAGTTGAGTTTGGAAATGAACGCTACTTTTGCTTAATGATTAGTGAGCGAACGATTAAGGATGTTATTAGTCCGATGATGATCGATTAATTTCGGGGTGTATCAGCACTTATTTGCTAAACCGATTGCTCAACTCTTTGGTCATCAGTTCTGCCGTGCTGGGCAAAAACGCCGTTATGCGCATTTTAATGTTGCCAAATCTCCTCTTAGCAAATATTCATTTTAGATGGAATTTATGAAGATTTTTTCTTGAAGTTTTCTGACCTTTTAGATAAAATTACGAACGAAATCCTCTGAAAAATCTGAAGAGAAATATTCACATATTTCCTTGAAAGTTCGTGATTTGTCGAAGGAAATTTGGCAGCGCCTGATGGCTTGTACGGCGTTCATCCTTAGCTCGGTATTGACGTATTTCTGTCAAACGGAACTAAGTGCATTAAGACATGAGCCCTGCGACCCTTAAGAATATATGCGTAACAGGGTTCACGTCATAATTACATAGTTCCGTTTGGCAGAAATGTGTCCGTATAGAGTTATCATTAGGCGAAACTGAGCGTAGATTTCCGAACCTGAATTTTACACTGTAGGCGAATTTTTGCGTGACATGAATGTCACTGTGAATGAGTGAATTTGGTCGACTTTTTCAAGCAGGTCGGCAGGATTGCAAACCAAAGACGAAAAACGCTCTGACGCCTAACCTAACTAAACACAGCTGCTCAATTAATTTTTGGCATCGTTTTCATCCATCCGCTTTTCAGGCCTGGATGCAAGCTTAAAATTTTATACATACATGTTTTTGGGCAAAATGAGAGACGCCGTTTCTCCATTTGCGACGTTGCAGACTTCCTTAGAAATTTTATTTTTCTTTCGAGAAGCTGGTCAACATAAAACTTGAATTCTCCATGATTTTTCGTATTCGATAGCAGAAGATTCGGTTCAAAATTTAAAGTCGTAAGTTTGGATTGTTTCTCATAGGAGAGATGAAATAAGAACGGAAATTTTGAAACATCGCAATGGCGATTCGTGGTTTCGCACTTCAGTCGGTGCGATACGAACATCCATCAAGTTCAAATAAATTGCATCAAGTCCCCGTCACCGCCGACCAACGCGTCTGTCGATCGAATCAACTACAGGTAGTATGAGCAGGGAGTCAAAACGCCTTCAATTTTTTGAACGCAATACGGACATCCGTCGAGGTTGTATAGTTGTATCAAGGCGCCGTAGCAAGCGCGTCCCATTGTTTATCGTTACAGACGAATCTAAGTTGAGAGAGGAAAGTCACAATGCCTTTAATTTAATATCCGTCAATTTCCGATCAAAATGATGACAAAAATGGCGGTCGAGAGTCATCTAGATTGATGGGGTAAAATTAATTAAAACAGCGTGTTGATTGAAATAAACATGAAATAAGCACGGTTGTGCGGAAATCAGATGATGGATGCTACCATTCAATCATCTACCATCAAATTTTAGCAGGCCGCAAAAAATTGATAGTAGATGGTGCGTACCAGTCACCATTTGATCGGAAATTGATAGAAATGTGAGCGTGTATCCAGGCCTTTTCAACCCACCTCGTTGGGGGGTCAAGAATATTGGATGTGGCCGTCACTGCTGCCAGCATGAAAACCAAATGTTGTAAGCGCATCGTCGCCCGGGGGAATTTCGCTTTGTTGTAACGGAGGTTGGCAGTAAGTTATACAAACTTCGAAAAGCTCTACTCGCGAAAATTTACTTTATAAGGAGGATTATTGCACGCTGAAAAAAATTCTCAGCGTTTTTACAAAGGTCCGTTGGTACCTTTACCATCTCACTTTTTTACCAATTATTGGTAATTTTACCAAGACAGACTGGTAAGCTTACCTAAAATCCGATATTTTTACTATTTTTTTCAGGTAAGAATACCAATTTCATTGGTAATCAATTCCTGGTAACTTTGCCATTTTATTTCGGTAATTCTACCACAGTCGATAAAAAATATTGGCGTTTTTACCAAGGTCCAGTAAATTTACCGAGAAAGTTCAATAATTTTACCGAGATTTCTCGGTAAAATTGCCAATTCCATAAATGTTAATTTTACCAAGAAAAAACTGGGATCAAATAGAACCCTGAATTCTTGGCAATTTTACCCTTTTCTTAGTAAATACATCGAGATTTTCTTTTCAGTGCAGGGTCCCTACTACTGTCGAAAGCATAGGGGTGGTGAAGAGCTAATTCTATTTACCTACAACGTAACTTTTGGGCGTCGCAGTGCTGCCCAACCACGGCGTCCCGATAGAGACGAAAGAGTTAATATACTTGTCTTTCCAGGCTTGCGGTTTCATGAGAAGGAAGTGAGCCGTAACCAAGCCACCCATGCTGTGTGCGATGATCGTCACCTTACGGGATGTTTTCTGTGCCATTTCTTCCACCAACTGCGTCAACTGAGCATAGTATTGATGTTCCGCCAAACTCTCTGGCAAAAGTCCAACAATAATTTATGATTAGTTATCAGGCTAAATGTATCCACGTCAACGCAAATAGTTGGACATTCGATCAAATGACTGGATGGATATCGTCACTTTCCGGCCAAAGTATCACAAGCGCCTCGCGACGTTTCAAAAATTTCCGCCGCCTTTTTAACTTTTTTACAGAGAAATTGTTCAGCGAGGCTAGCCGAAAATTTCACGGAATTTTTTTCATTCTGTTTTTAACATGGGCACCGAGGCTTCTTTGTCTAGGTCGTTTAACATTTGCATTTTTTGCAAGTACTGGGGAGTCAGCCCGATGACTCAACCCCCAACCTGGAGGACCAGCGTTTGAATTTGGAGTGCGCTCTCCTAGATTGGTTGCTTCACTACGACTAAGAGCCCAATCTGCCCATCCATGGGTGGTTCATATGCCTTAAAGTCGGTGATCAACTCCAAAACACCCTTTGAGGCAGGGGCTACCAGCTGGGGTCCACAGGATTGCTAAACCTGGGACAGTACAGTCTCCCATATCGACGGTGAAACTACCAAACCACGTATCTCGGTTTGCGACGTCGCAGACTTCCTGTCATACTTTATTTTTTAAATGAAAAACTACTTGACATCCAGTCTTGAAAATTTCTGTGATTTTTCCTCTTTGTGCGGAGAAAATTCCGTGAAAATTTCAAGGAATGATATTGATTTGGTCTACTTCAAAAAAATAAAATGTGAGCGTAGATTTTTAAATACCGCAAACGAGATACGTGGTTTGGTAGTTTCACTGTCGATATGGAAGTCGCCCATATTTTTTTCGTACTGCCGATAAAGTTGAGTGAAATTTTCAAACTGATTCAACAAAAATTTTATCGGTAAAAAAATAAAATGGCGGTGGAGATTTTGAAACGTCGCACGGCACGGTAACGATGTAATCAAATTAGGAGGTATGCTTCCCGGCCTCCACGCGACCCAACCTCGTACAGGTCGCTTCCCGCCCTCAAAAGGACGTAAATATCCTCACATTTCAAAACTTTTTCATGAATTGGACGTATTTCTACCAAACAGACCTATGTGCAGATGAGAAATATGGGGTGTGCTCGTGGAAGCTGCATAAGAAGCAATGTGGTCAGTGGGCGTGATTCCTTTTGAAGAATTGGAAAAGCGGGATATTGCATTCTATCAAAGAGACCTATGTGCAACTGAATGCGGAACTCATGAGCCGCGGGCATAGCAAGAGAGCCTTGTGGACAGGGCTCATGAGTTACAGCGCCCCGACGACGAGCTCCCCCTCGCGCGTGGTCTCGATCATTGCCGCTGACGTCACTGGCGCTTTATTATTCTCATTCACTCTTACGGCCAGGGAACTAACGAGCACACCCCATATTTCTCACTTCCACATAGGTCTGTTTGGTAGAAATACGTCCAATTGGTGCCAATACAACCGCAAATACGAAGATAATTCACTTGGTGGATCTGTAGAAAAAACTGTGATACGGATTAAATTGCACATTCTTTAGATGGGTGAATGCATAATTTCGTCACGTAACGGTACCAATGTTGATCATAATTCAAAAATGAAAAGCAATCGTGTTTTTTTCTTTTTCTTTCTAGCTTGTCTGGTTTGGTTACGTCGTTATAATGACGGCTGAGAGATTGCCAAAGAAGATGCTTGATTGGACGGATTCCTCCCGGGAGTTCCACCTGGGAGGAAACGAAGGGGACGCCCAGTAAAAGGGTGGCGACAGGGGGGTTTTAGAAGAAATAAGGGGGTGTCAACCCCCTGAAGGGCTTTGAGAGGATAGGGGACTTTGGCGACTAGGTATCGCGCAGATCGCCAGAGAGCGATGTCAAAGCGGCCTCTATGTATATAAAAAGGAACGGGTTCATTTTGAGGTTATTATGAGCAAATGATCATGGAGTGAAAAGTAAATTAGAGAAAATTTTACGCCGAAATGCTTACTTGATAATCCTTTTTCAAAAATAACGTATATTCAAAAATTTAGACATGAACCCACAGACCCACACCCATTTCATCACCCAAACCAATTACATGGTTTAATTGGGGTTAATAATTAAACTTACGAGGTGGGAATCGCCAGTCGTAAGAGGCTGCTTTCATACTGAGTTCCTCCGAGTAGTCTGCATCCTCAAAATTCTCTATGACCTCGTGATAGTATTCAGTTTTGAATTTCGCGATCGCATTGTGCGCAACGTACTCAGAGGACTCAAGACTTCCGAAATTCCCTCTGACTATAGTCACCACTCCATTTTGATTGGTGAACCTCTGATTTTTCTGATCGTACAGGATTTTAAACCTATAAACCTTCAACAAATTGAAATCATAAACAGGGAGAGGAAAAAGAATCGTTGCTCTTTCAGAATGGAATCCAGGTCCTATTTACTTTTCTATTCGTAGTGGCGATGCTACATTTGTATTGACAACTACTTTGGCCCCGGTAACAATGCAGAATTTTTAATCGGGACCAAGGCACCGTTACCACAAAATTAAGACACCAAGGCCGATGATCCCCTCATTAAATTGAAACCAAAGTAGGGGTAACTTTCTAACTATAAGCCTACGTGTTTAATTCTGAAAGATTAAAAAGTTATATTAATTAAATTAACACACAAACACACACGGAGATAAATGTATGGCCTTGTGAACCAATTAGTGGTTCATATGGAGCACCACTAATAGTTGTAAATTAAATAATGTGTGAACCATACTTAGGTATCTCGTACCATACTAAGGTATAAGTGCTATTTTTATACGTTGCATTTACTACTATTAGTGGTGTTCCGTATGAACCACTAATTGGTTCATAAGCAATAGCTTTTTCTCATAGTGCATAAAAATATAAACTGATGAAAATATGTGTATACACTTTATACTTGCTTTCTGAAAGATGCTCTCTGTGCAACTTTCAGCAAGAAAAATATAATTTGAGGATATTTTGTATCAAATATCATGCATTATCAATATGCAATACAATATCATTTTAAACAAAAAATTTGTCGACTGCAAGTGTATGTGTAAAGAAGCCTGGTAGTCGATACTAGACTACTTGGCTACACAAGCTCTCCAAGAATAATAATAATAATAATAATTTATTTTATTTGTAAATGCACATTTATAACGGCGAAAACAAATATGTCACAATTAGTTAGGATATAAGAAAAAAAAAAAAAAAAAAAAAAAAAAAAAAGAAGTGAAAAGAGATTACAGAACTTAAGCTAAATATTCTGCTACACTATACAAACACTTGGCAATAAAAAATTGTTTTAGTACATTTAGAAAATTTGGGTCCCTGTATTTGGATTTCAGGTTTGCGGGAAGTTTTTCAAAAAATATTCGGCCGCGCCTTAGTGAGTGGCTGTTCCTTGTTGCGTTTGTCATGGCCTGGAATCTAGTGTTTATTTTATTATTACTGAGATTCGTAGGAGCTATAGAGCTATTCATATCAACTATAAAATTCGAAATGGACCTATAAATTACGAGGGAATCTAGTCGCTAGAGCCAGATTCCTGACGTTATATGGCCAATAGATCTACCAGTCACAGTCTCCACTGACGGTGGAAACCATACATTCAACAAAAATTTCAGATCTATTGTTGCGACTGAGAGCTGCTATGGTACCGAAGCCTTCGGTACCATATGAGTGCTGCATTTTTTCAGGAGCGTATTCGCGTATGACTAGCAAGTCTAGTACCCGATACTAGATTTTTCTTCGAGCAGAATGTCAAATTAAAATTTCAACTTTACCCAACATCTGAGATTGTTATCTCCTTTGACGGCAATGCTCATAGATAGCCATACATAATCGAATTCCTCTTGTTTTTCGTCGCAATATTCCGGATGACCCTGCGTTTCCCACTTTGCCTTGAGCTGGCTCCCGCCAACGCCATGTACTATGTGAAAAATGAACAGAAGATGCACAAATGAAAAAAAGGTTGATAAGGTTTGTGTTCAATTTAGCCTTGATCTTTACGATTTCGTCTCATAACTAAATAGAGAGCACGCCCCTTGACAGCTTTGCGCTCCATAAGGCGTTATTCCCTACACGTTACTCCCATAATTTTATACTGTAGAGTAAGATTTACTCTGCAGTGATTTCACGGAAAAAATTAAATTGCTGATCTAACAATTAAATTGTTAAAAATAAGTGACTGCAATGTTTCAACGTGACGCTACTTTAACCACTGTTGTAAGCTAAATTAACCACGGGGTGGTTAAAGTAGCATTTTTTTGTTGTAAAATCTACATTGAAAAATTGCAGTCATTTTTTTTTTAGCAATTTAATTGTTAAATCAGCAATTTAAGTTTTTCCGTGTTGTTAGTGTGGTTGTAATGTAAATGTGGCCATTATGCTATTCGAATTTATACAGGTCCTTTAATTTTTCAGTTGCTCGTATGTTTCCTCTGTGACGCAGCAGTGCAAATCGTGCTTAAAACCTTAAGGCAAGGTGAAAAATCAAATTCTTCAATATTGACGGAAAATCGGATCGAGGTAAAAATTTCGATTTTCAGTCTCTAAGAGGTCAAATATGTGTAATACTCTCCAAAAAATTCAGCAAAGTTTCATAGCGTAATTTGTATCGTGAAGAATGTTAAAAGCGTTGGGAGAGTATCGTTCTGCGGACTGACAATAGCGCCGCCGAACTTCAAAACCAGTTTTCTTTGTTTATATTCTTCGTCCTTAAACTTTGAACTGCTGCCAAAGTGTCAACTTTTCGAATTTTTGGGTGATCTTTGTGCCAAATGAAGAGAAAAAGATCCCACTCTATGCGCTGTGCGTAGTTTCAAAAAATGAAATTGCTGTTTTGACGATTTTGTTGTTAAAAAAAGTGACCGACACGTTTCAATGTAGATTTTACAATAAAAAACAAGAAGAAAAATCCAACATGAATATGTTGGAAAAGCGTGCCGAATAACTGAAATGTTGGACACACACCTACTATTTTCATGTCTGTGCTATTTGTATCAACTGGTACTTTTTGCTAAATTTGGGAGAAAATATTGATTCATGAACGTTGAATGTAAATTAATTTTAAAGATTCCGTACATTATCTTGATTTTAAGCTGATATGCAGCATTTGCGCACAACTGCGATTTGCAGCGAACTGCCGTAAAAGACTATAAGGGATTGGCAGTATAACGGACAAAAAAACAGGTGCGAGGAAAAAAACATTTGGACGGCCCGTTGAATAGCATGGATTGATCGGTGTGCTGTACTGTGGTAGAACCGAGTGATTTCAAAGATGCTGCAAAGATTTTAAAGATGCTTCTTTAACCCCCCCCCCAACCCCTGTGGTTAAAATAACTTTCCTTATTGTAAAATGTATATTTGGAACAAGTCGGACATATATTTTGACAATTTAATCGCTAAATCAACAATCCGGTTTTTTTTTCGTGTTGAGCTATCCCAATTTTTCTTTCCTCCATCTTAAGACACAAATTGTCTCACCATGTCAAATTTTCATTTTCCACTAACTTTGTACCCCAGCGAAATTAAATTAATTAAATTTATTTACACTGCTGGTCTCAACTTACTCAGAATGACCGGAGCTAAGGAATCATCGTAGTAGTTATAGCCGTCAACTGCTGGACTCAAAGAGAAGAGCTGAAAAATCAGCGGGATTCCAAGTGACCGAATCAGAGGTTGCATTGTGAGTTTCACTAGAGTAGTTTATTCAACTGGTGAATGACTTAACTGAATGATATGACTTCATCAAGGAGGGATAAATTGTGTGACGCATCATGCATGGCCATTAAATGGGTTGTTTAATGTGCAACTAGATCAATTCATTTTTTTTATTAAATGTGCGGTTGCTTTGAGGTATTGGTTCAGCTGCTTCTTCTGCCGGCCGAGGTAAGGAAAAACTCCATATGAACCTTCAGGCGTTACCAAATTTCCTCCGATAAAATAGGAATTTATTGGAGAAGTTGTAAATATTTATCTTCAACATTTTCTGTCTATATTATTTGCACTTTAATCTAAAATATTTGAAAATTTCAAGGGAAAATTTGCGTAAATTTCGTCATAAATACCTGTTTCATCCGGGAAAATTTGGCAACTCTCAAATGTTATTACGGCGTTTTTCCTTAACACGGCAGCAAGTCGACCCGGAAAACGGTGACAATATGACATCGTCAAACCCAAAGAAAATATATTTTCTCGTGCCAAGTATCAGTCTTTTTTAAAGTGCAGTTATTAAATAAAAATTACGGCCGTGGTCCTTACCTGTATTTGCATAAATATTTAAGCGTGAAACTTTTAAAACAGGTTAAAAAGTAAATTAATACAATATATTATACACCATATATCCTGGCAGCTTACAACTTGCTGACCGTAAAATTGCTTATGTGTGAATTCAAACGTTTTTGTTTTAGAAATTTGAATCATTTCAGATATTTCACGCAATTATCAGTGAAGTATTAAAACATGATTACCTCCTTCGTGAAACATCAGCAAACGATTAAATGACGCTTATGGACAGGGTCGGACTGGCTCGCATCTGAGAGCGTAGACTCTTAGCTGGTTAAAGGGGCGTAATGTGATATTTCCTGATGGGGCATCCCCTTCGTGGAGAGGGGTTCAGAAAATTTTGGCAAGGCAGCACAAGTTTACGCTATTTTCAGGTTCAAAGTTTACTAATCGTACAGGGTAAAAATTGTAAAATTGAACGTATTGAAGTGACCGACAGAATTCTGAAATTAAAGAAAACAAAAAAAATTAAAGCCACTGGACGCATCCAAGCATCATGACTTCCACAAGTACCGTGTCAGTGCTGCGGTTTACACGAGCTAAAGACGTGGGTCTAAAAATCCATCCTAAAAAGAATCAAGCAAGAACCTGAAACAAGAAGAAAGAACGAGTATCAACACAGCCGACGACAAGAAAGACGTATTCGGGCCTCTTTTCTAACATTTCTCCCGAATCTGAGCGACACCTCATTGGCAGCATATAGCTGAGCATTGAGAACTCACGCTTCGCGTCATCGCGCCTTCAATTTTTCAGATGCAGCATGGACGTCCATCAAGTTGAATAGTTGTATCTCTAAGCCGTCGTTAACGCGCATCCATTCCCTCGCTTTATTTCCATATTGTGTTTGTTTCCGTTTGTCTTATTCGTAATGGTGCTTCATGCACTACGTGAATAACACAGCCGAAGGTAGGAGATATGTGTTCGGGCCTCTTTTTTAATTTTTCTCCCGAATCTGAGCGACACCTCATTGGCAGCATATAGCAAAGCATTGAGAACTCACGCTTCGCGTCATCGCGCCTTCAATTTTTCAGATGCAGCGCGGACGTCCATCAAGTACGAATAGTTGTATCTCTGCGCCGTCGTTGACGCGCATCCTTTCCCTCACTCTATTTCCATGTTGTGTTTGTTTCCGTTTTTCTTATTTGTAATGTTGCTTTAAACTAGAGAGGAGCATTGCGAGTTCACGATTCACGCCATAGCGTCTTACATTTTTCATATGCAATGTGGACATCCATCTTGCGAGAAGAGTTGTATCGCGTTTACACTTTAGATGTCTCTCACTTTTGAATTTCGAAATAAATTAAGGTTAATTTTGCCCGAGATATGCTATGATATGTCCAAATCAATAGTCATTTTAAAAAGGAAGAAATATGTTTAAAGGTCTCTCATGAGGTCTATAAAGTGTGCGTATGTCTAAAAATCGAACCGGCTATCATTTTTATCGGAGTTACACATAGAGAATGAAGGAGGGGAATGATAAAGCGCTTGTATGTCAAAAAAAAGGTGACAATTTCACAGAAAAGTGTTCACGCCTCAGAAAGGACCTCTGTTCACCACCATGCGTAAAAGCACCTCTCTTCACTCTTCTTCCGTTCATTTAAGAAATTTTTCGCATATATTTTCGGTCGTAATTTTTTGTCTCTTCTTATTTTGTGATCTGCCAGAGGGGCGCGTTTTTGGCGCGCCAAGAGGGCATATCTGCCAATGGCAGATTGGCCTTACTGGCCTTACTGGCCCCCTCGGACTGGCCGTCCGAGCCTGTAATTATGGAAACTTTTTCGCCCGACAAATAGAATAAAAAAGTCTGTCAACGTTGAGAAACTGTTAACATTTCGTAGAATATATTGGCAACAACAACTTCTTGATTATCAAGTTCAAGTATATGTCTGATTGAAGTGTCCCCTCCTAAGAAACATTCTCTTCAAGTTTAGCCGACGCGACAGCCCCTCTTCTCTAGTTGAGTGACTCGCCACACTTCTGAGGCTTTGATGATAACATTACTCCCAGTTTTATGTCACAGATGACATCTGGCTCGCGTAAGAGGAGGGTCTGTTAAAGAAGCTCTCTCTTAAAAATAATTTTTTCAAAGCACTTTGAATTCATTTCGGTTCAAAATATTTTTATGAAAATAATCTCTGGCTTTATCCTCATTTCACAGTAACTTTCTGTAATTCATTTCAGGAAATTTGTATTTTTATTTTAAAATGGGAAGTGATGAAATGCAAGACCCTTCTTTGAAAAGTCTGTTCTGTATTCAAGATGTTAAAGACTGTGCCTTGAAAGGACTGCCTCAGACGTACTGGGATTATTTCGCACGTGGGGCAGCGAACGAAGTAACCCTCGCGAACAACGAGTTGGCTTTTCAAAAGTGAGTACAAATATTCCTTTTTCAATGATGAACTAACTTCTATGATCTGAAAGAATATCGATGACTGAACTTTGAAACCGTGCATCTGTCGCAGGCAATTAGCAATCGCCGGCAATTTGCAAGCGGTTCTCACGTTGTTTCAATGAATCGCAATAATGCGCATCGGCATAATGCAATTTTTAAACGTTATGTTCTTCAAAAGTATCAGCTCGGCTTGAAGCGCCTTCGGTTTTTGTGATACTCTACGCTTTGTCACGATGTTAGTTTAGTTGCCTGTCCGATCTCAACCCAACTAATGTCATAGAGTTCACAACAGGACTTTTCCACTACAGGACAGTTCACTATACTGGAGTTCTCGTGAAATGAATGGACTTTTCCACTACAGGACAGTTCACTATTGGAGTTTTCGTGAATGTGAGTGTGCATATTCCTGCCATGTTTTTAAGGATGGAAAAGTGTCTATTCACATTTTTAGGCAACATAATCAGCACTCTAATCTTGTTCTTTTATTTTTAAATTTTATGATTTTCTATATTTATTCAGACTGGCTTGTGAATTGCCGGCGATTACCAATTGTCTGCGACACATACATGTAGGTTTATAACGTTGAATTCTCGCTTCTTTTAATTCTTCAAATTTAATTAATAAAATATTGAACGCTTTTTTTGTAAATCTCTTAGATTTGTCTAATTACTGTGATCATTGTTTGCTGAAGTTTTAAAAACGTTACATCGGTGAAGTGCCGATGTACTTTTTATAAAAAACATGTATCCGTCATTAGTAGACAAAAAAAATGAGTAAGACGATGATCTGAGTCGAACCAAGCCAAATTTTTGGAGAGGAAAAGAGTTAGGGGGATTTGGGGCTCATGAACCCAACATTTGTAGGAGCTGTCCCTAGAAGAGAACATGTCCATTTTTAGATAATCTCTGAAACTGAAGTAATGCCACATGGGCCAGAGCTAATCTGAAAACAGACATGTTCCTTTTCAGAAACAACTCGATCATTTACCCCTTTCCAGAGCCGGATTAGCGCTTAGAGGCACGCACATTTGCGGATTGCATACTCTCTAAATTGAAGGCATTTCGCCTAGAACGACTGGCGAACTTGTATACATCATGTACAATTATTATGGATCGGAAAGACACTAACCCTTGAGTACGAAAATATTGTCCTGACGATACGACACCCTGACCGATTTCCCCCGCATGTCAAAAGGGGTCTACTTCATCTCTGCTTATGACTTGTCGATGAAAATGTGGCGTCCAAAACCAGGACACGCTGCGGGTTCTTACGATTAAACACCGTCACCTTCTGATCCACTGATCGAAAGCGGATGCGACACTGACATTATACCTTCACATGAAGCTGAGTTTTCCAACGACTCCTTAATTTTTACACTCCAAAATCACCCGGCTACTCCGGCCCTGCTTCTGTCCAAAATTTAAGGTCGACAAAAAATAGATTGAGCGTAAAACTTAGGGCTAACTTTCAATTCCGATCTTTGCATCTGTGCATCGGATACTAGCACATACTCATTTGGTCGGATTTCTGCCAAACGGAACTATGTGCATTATGACGTGAGCCCTGTTATGCATATATTCTTATGGGTCTCAGGGCTCATGTCTTAACGCACATAGCTCTGTTTGGTAGAAATACGTCCATTTATCCCACCCGATCGTGGTTTTTTGCAGGTTTCGGATCCGACCGCGGGTGATGGTGGATGTGTCCCAGCTGGAACTGGAGACATCCGTCCTCGGGGAGCGGGTGGCTTTTCCGGTCGGGATCTCCCCGTCGGCCTTGCACGAATTGGCGCATCCGGAAGGGGAGTCGGCCACTGCCGTAGGTAATTGAACATTAAATCGTAATTAAATCTGCTAGCATCATATTAATCTCGCGCCATTGTCAAACCAATTGACCACGCGTAAACCTACCAACATATTTTGTACACTTGAGGTTTACCTTAAATTTTGTCGCATAGGTAACAAATATACCGTGGAGCGCGAATAGTTATCTAGGTGAAAAACGTACATATCGTTCTATTACATTTGATTACTTAAATTATGTAAACGATATTGTTAACCAAATGGTGGGAATCGTTCATCTGAAGTATATCGTATCAGTTCTAGTAACCGCCATGTTAGTTGATGTTATCAAACTTTTAGACTGGCCACACGTTTGGACAGAGTATGGTTGCATGAGCCGTTCAAATAGTTCGGATGCATGAACTGGACTAAATTTTGCAATTAGGAACTACAGTATCCACTTCATCCATAAAGTACTTATATGGATACAGAAATTAATGGTGCATACGTTGTTTCTACAATGCTGAGCCGGAAATTGTAGTTCCCAATTGAATCTGGACGTGCGGAAACCGCTAATATCCATTTTTCCAGTCTTCAGTTTTTTTGAGTGGACAATATTTTTCGGAGTTGATGGAACCACAAAAGTGGCGTTAATACTAGTCTCCGGGTTACCTTAATTCCAAAACGAGTCCCTTCATAACTTTAATGGTTGTATCAATTCTTTAAAAGTATTATGAACTCAAAAAAACTCGAGATTGGAAAAATGGACATTAGCGGTTTTCTCACGTCCCGATTCAATTGCAGAATGTAGTGAGAACCGAATGCATGGTTGCATGCACCAAATAGTTCGACTAACATAGAAACTGTGCACACCGGATTTTTTCAACCGAACTTTTTATCTCAGAGAAGTTCGTCTTATCCCTCCCTCCCCCGCCCTCAAATCAGAGATAATGTCTAAGCTTGCACATGGGCCTCATCTGCATCTCCCAAGTAAACCTCTAATTCACCTGAATGAGCAAGCTTAAGATAATAAACTCGTTAACACCATGGAAAAAGAGTGATTTCCCTGGATTGGGAGTTAGATATTCGACACTTGAGAAGATTTTCGATATTATTTGATGGTATGACTTGTTGCGTCAGACTAACATCTTTTAAAACGCGTTTCAGCTGCAGGTGAGCAGGGTACGATTTACATTCAATCGACATTGAGCTCACAGTCACTCGAGGAAGTTGGGGCTGCAGCTCCCAAGACGACAAAATGGCTACAGTTGTTTATATTCCATGACAAGTGCGTAACTAACATATTGCGTATAAGTAAAAATTTGCAATCACTGGAGAAAAAGTATGGTAACATTTACTGTTTGTCTACTTATTTTTTTACGCAGTGATACTATTTGATGAAAATTACCAGACTTATAGTAGTATTTGCCAGAATTTGCCAGGTCTTGTTGCTATGGTTTTTTTTTTTTTTTTTTTTTTTTTTTTTTTTTTTTTAACTCACTGTCGTTTTTTTCCGACATAAAATGATATCTCTGTAATAAAAATTGGCTATTAAAGTAATCCTGCGACTTCTATAATTTACCATACCTTAATTTTCAGGGATATCACAAAAAGTTTAGTTGCTAGGGCTGAAAAAGCTGGATTCAAAGCTATCGTTGTTACCGTAGATATACCAATCATTAGTCTACGTAAATACGGAAGCAGCAGCTCAGGACCTCCATTTCCCGATCACCTTCGGTACGTCATTTTCTCAGGTCTCTGTTTTATTTATTAAATAAACTATTTTCATATTATATTAAACCACCCAGTAGGTAATCCGAGTTGAGAACAACGAATATACCGCCAAGAAAAAATTAGATACACGAAATTTTTAATTTCAGTAGAGTTGTATACATTTTTCAAAAATTTGTATTACCATTGACCAATTTTGAAGAGCTGATTTAAAATTATGATAAGATCATTTAATACAACAAGAACCTTATAAAATACAACGACTGAAAAAATTTTTATAATGAGGACTGATGAAAAATGTTATATAACGGACTTACTAATTTTTTTAATTACCATGCAAAATGCTTATTGAGCAAACAAAACCCGATGGGCTTTTCAGAGTGCATATTTTAGACTCAATTATTTTTATGGTATGTTTTCAGATTCGCTAACTTAACGAATGAAAAATGCTCTCTCTCTCAAACTAACAAAAATAGCGGTGGCGAAAGATTTGATACAAAAGGTGCATTTAATCCGAGACAAACGTGGGACGATATCAAGTGGCTGAAAAGGTAGGAGCAGCAAAGTTGCATACATTACATATAAACAAAGTTTTAAGTCATTTATAAGTTGTTAAAATCACAGAAATACACTTTGCATTGCAGTAGGTAAGAAATAATACAGGGAAACGCTGTTTGTGCTAATTAGTTATTATTAATCCAAAAGAATCAATGTGATACTTTCAGCAGGCAGAAAGGACTGAAGCACTTTTCAATTTTGAGCAATTTTTAGATTATTCTTGCACATAGGTGACAAACTGTCTGAAAAACTACGAGTATATTCGGAATATAATTTAATCCCATTACTTAAATTTTTAGTCCTCAAATCTAACAAAGGGCTAAAAGATGTAGACGCATAGCCAGAAACATTTCACGAGAGCAGGGTCATAACTCATGGTTCACAATTTCCTAAGAGAGCCTTCAAGACTAAATTATACCGCAGCATCAAAGAAAATTAGCTGAATGGGGTACTTCCAGGTCATTTGTCCTCAGAAAGAAATATAATTTTATGTATTAAATCATGAATCCTCTTTTCCAAAATCATTTATTCCCGCTGCGTGTATCTATAGTGACACCCTTGGAATAAATTATCTCTAAACACTCTCTCGCAAAGGATTTTACCTTCTCTAATGCTCCGGTGTTTGTCCTGTCTAGCATAACAAAATTACCAGTAGTGCTTAAAGGAATCCTGACCAGAGAAGACGCTATTCTCGGTGCAGATGCAGGAGCCGATGGGATTCTGGTTTCCAACCACGGAGGAAGGCAGTTAGACGGATCTCCGGCAACGGTAGGTTATGAAATCCGAATTTCACGGAAAGAATGAAATCGCTGATTTGTCAATTAAATTGTCATAAAATATGTCCGACGTTTCAAAATTCGCCATTCAAATTCGCCAAAATTATAAAATCATTTCGCCTCTGTTTTATCAGATGGTACACAATGCATATTCTCCAAATCGCAGAAAGCTCCCATAATCTTTCTTTTTACCCTCCTCATAGATGACCATAATCAACGGCCCTAACCACTCTCCCTTCTTGGTACCTCATCACACGTGATACTTTGCTCTGAGACATTCAAAGAGACAAAAATCCGAAACATAAGTAGAACGAAAATTTAAGTAAAAAAAAAAAAAATCCTGCAAATAAACTTTATTTTCATTTCATTCTTGATTTTGATCCATGCCTCGTGTTTCAGATTGAAGCATTGCCTGAAATTGTTGAGGCTGTTGGTGATAAAGTCGAAGTTTATTTGGATGGTGGAGTTCGAGGAGGAGCGGATGTTTTCATTGCTCTCGCTCTTGGAGCAAAAATGGTAACATGAAATTGAAGTATCTTTTTTCTCACCTTAAGTTTAAACATTTTAGAGATGTAAACTATAAGGAAAATTAAAATAAAAAACAAAAAGAAAGTCAAGAGCATTTTTATTTAATGGCAAAAATTATATTATTATTGATTAAACCGATAATTTTTTAAATCACGTAAGCGCCAATCCCTATTTTGGTGGTATAAAGGTTGCTTTTTCTTTGTTTTCTCTGGTATAATCAATCATATCTGATTCCAAAAGAATATACATTTTTTGGAATTCGGAAATTGCCGACAAAGCAAATACGAGTAAAACGAGGTTCCTTGTTTTTCTCGCATTCGCAATTTTGGCGCTTGCATGATTTGGAAAATAATCGCGGTTTCAATTGGATTATTGTTGTCAGCAAATCGTGACTCATGATAAGATTTTCATTCATTGAATCTCCCACTGAAAAAGTTTAAACATTTCGTAATCCAATCCCCGTTTTTAATTTTTATCTTAAAAGTATTTTTTTTTTCCTTTTTAAATTTTTTATGATTCCAGGTTTTTATTGGGCGTCCAGCAGTATGGGGTCTCGCAGTAGGTGGACAAGACGGAGTGAAAAAAGTTCTGGACATCTTTAAGTATGAGCTGAGCAACGTGATGGCTTTATCAGGTTAGGCATACGATTTAGAGAATAAAGAATTGACTCTGTATTTTGGATTTTTTTCAAACCTAAATTCCAAAAATTTGACTTGAGAGCTAGGTGTCATCAGAATTTTTTAAATAAATAGTGCGAACAGGTCCGATTACAACTGCTTCATCATAACGTATTCGGCGAAATCTGAACCCAGAAAAAATTGCTATGCACGGATTAAATTCAAACTTCCAAGTTTTCTGCCTTCATTTTGAAATTAACCATTGCTGATCATTTCCTTCTTTTGTTTCGTTTCTAGGTGCTGTTTCGCCGCAACAAATAACCAATTCTATGGTGGTCCATGAGTCATACTACAGCAAATTTTTGCGATAATGTAAAAGTTCCCGGTGATCACACGCTTTATCTCTAAAATCTGTGAACGCTATCTTTTACTGATTTTAGGTTGACGAAGAATCATTAAATATTAAATTGAATATACTGCTTTAAATGGTTTGGTCACACGATGAAATTATTAGTGTATTTTTTATTTCAAAAATCTAAAAAGCTCCAATGTGTCAATTTAATATTTAACTATTTTAAGTGTATCAAGTTTCGAGCTGTCTATTTGCAAAAGTGACCATAGCCTCGCACGCTAAGTTCTTCAAGCTTATTTTGTTGCATATCGTTGGTGAAACTATAGAAATGGGTATCTTGGTTTGCGGCGTTGCAGACTTTTTGTCATACTTTATTTTTTACGCGGAAAACTACCGAATGTCATTTCAAAAAAACTTCGGTGGTTTGTATTCTCTGTGTGATAAATATTCCGAGAAAATCTCAAGCAATAATCTTGGTTGCGTTTCCTCTTTTAAAAAATAATATATGCTCGGAGATTTCGCAAAATTGCAACCGAGACACGCATTTTTGCAGTTTCACAGCCGATATTTAGTCATTATGACGGTAAGTAATGGACATTTTGGACGTTTTTCTACCAAACGGAACTATGTAAATTGTGTCGTGAGCCCTGTAATGCATGTATTCTTACGAGTCTCAGGGCTCATGTCTTAATGCACATAGTTCCGTTTGGCAGAAATACATCCATTTTTGGAACAATCTTATGACAAAATTTAATTATTTTTTAGATAAATCCCTCGGATATTTTTTTTTTTCAAAATAAAAGTGAAATTATCAGAACGTGATCATGTGTTTTCTTGGTTACCTATCAATTTTAATGAAGGGCATGATAATCTCTCTGATCCTCCGAAGGGAAATATAATCCAGATATTTAGTTAGTGGATACAAAAAAATGTACATTAAAATCAATTTATACACAATAAGTACACTTTCATGACAAACAATTATTTTGATACGATGGTCATTTTACTATCACCGAGCGTATGACTAGAAGAGGTGGAAATTAGCTAATGAACTGAAAGCTTCCTATTCCCCGTTGTGTTTTCCAATTTAGGGTCAACCGCATGGGCGGTTCTAGACCTTCATGCTTGGGGGTGCTCAGAGGTGGAAAATGACGAGATCCCCCCTCCTCCCATCATCCCTTGCCCACAATCATTGAATACTAGACACCTGCAGATTTCAAAAATTCATGAAATAAAAATATTGCCAATTTTTTGAGCTTCATATTACACTTTTTTCTCGACGTTTTTACTTGCCCAAAAGCCTCTTTCACGGTTCCGGTAACCGTACTTTTGCTTGGGGGTGCCCGGCACCCACTGGCACCCCCGTAGAACCGCCTATGGCTCAACCGTATGGAACCCAGAGCTAAAACGAGAATTGAAGAACCGACATTTGAAAACAAATACATATTATCTCAACCCCGTACTTAGCGACTGAGGAGATTAGTACCTCCACTTTTAGTTGCTTTCAAAGAACCAAAGTAAAAATTAATATTTGAGAATATAACGCACAAAATTATCGTATTTTTTTCTCTCTCTTTACCTATCTTTTTCTCACATAATGAGTAATGTTCTTTACACTGCTAACATAACAGTAGGGTACAATACTGCCATGCTAAGGAGAAACGCCGTATGAGCCTTCAGACGTTGCCAAGTTTCCTCCGATTAAAAACCGAATTCACTGGGGAAATTCTGAATATTATTTTCCAAAATTTTTAGACAATTTTTTTACGCAATTTAATGTAAAATATCTGAAAATTTCATGAAAAAATATGCATGAACGTTGTCAAAAATACATGTTTTATCAAGGGAAATTTGGCAACTCTTGAATGCTCATGTGGCGTTCTTCCTTACCACGGCAGAATGAGGCAGTTAAAGCTTGCCTATCAATTCCTGGGGATGTACTTGTTTCGACTGTAGGACTTGCTTTTGCTTAATTGGTTAAAATGAAGGCAAACGCACCCTATGCTATACTGCTGTGCTAAGGAAGAACGCCGTATGAGTCTTCAGACGTTGTCATATCTTCTCCAAAAAATAACGAATGTACCGGGAATATTGTTAACATTTAGCCTCAAATCTTTCAGACAATTTTGGCCGCAATTTAATCCAAAATATCTGAGAATTTCAAGGAAA